ATGCGTTTCATGTCTTTGGGGGTGGGACTCAAGACTACCTTCCCCCAAAGAAATACAGGAGAAATATGTTGCGCCTCACAAACTTTAAACGTTTCTGTATAATTTTCAAAGGTTAAATTGCTTTAATTCAGAGTTGTTGGGCCTTGTTTTTCTTGTATTTCAGCCAGCATTTTCCAGTGCACAGTAGTGACTTTTTTTTTCCTTTCCTCCCTGTTTTTTTGCTCAGTGTAAACAATTCCTTGCTGTGGTTACAGACAAATATAGAAGAGAACCCTTTTCTCGGAGAAGAATCTCCCTGTGCATTTCTTAACCATTTTTGGGAAGAATCGATCCATCTGTGCATGCGGGAGAAGGAGGCAATGGCTGTAAATTGAAGTGACATCATATATATTACTCCCATTGATCCACTTTTAGATTAGAGCCAGGATAAAAGGAAATGGCATCAGGGAGGAAGTATGCTCATTTAGGCACAGATCCCAGTGTGATAATGGAGTAATAATAGAAATCACGCCACTGTCAATCGGTTGCTGCATTAGTCTGAGGCAGATTTCCCCTCCAAGGAGGCTTTCAATGACTTCATTCAAATGTAGGCAGGAGCAAATGGGATATTCAGCATACCAGCTGTACAACTTCAGTGATTTGTGTCCTGGCTGAGGGGTGCAGTGCAAGTGCTGGTGCTGTGGATACTCAGATAGATATATCTGTGTCACATTTCATGGCTGTGAAAGGTCAGTAGTCAAATGTTTCAGTGGCATTTTTTTTTGTAGTATAAAGGGTAAATCTGGCATTTATTGCATTTGTTCATGTAGGAATTGATAAATACACTCCTTCAGGTGGGTGGTCGTTTGGGATGTGAGGCTGATGACCTCTGTGGCTGCTGTACCAGATCTTGGAAGAGGAAAGATTTGCTTTCTTTGTGCTTCTTGCAGGTTAGGGGTTGTACTCAGAAAGTTCATAGGGCTTGTTTTCAAAGAGTATCCGCAGAAACCCTGTGAAACCTACTAATGAATTGAGATACTCTTGTGACACAGTATAATGGCTTAAGTGTCTTGTGTGCTGATATGAATAAAATACAAAGTGTGCTTTTCTTACTTCCCAGATGCTTAGTATGCTGTGAATCTCAGCCCCAGGGAGCTGTTTCCTTAATAGTCTGTTCTATTTTCAATTTGGTTACTTCTTCTTTAATTCTTTCATCTTGCCTTTTTCAAATGCAGACCTAGTTTTGATATTCCCCAATATAGATATATAGTTTACAGTTTGTTTTAAGGGTAACAGCTGTGTTATTCAAACTTTAAAACAACCACATCAGGTAACAGGGGGAGCAGCACTAACATGGCTGTTTGGTGGCATGGCAAAGTGAACTCTTTCAAAAGGCTGAAGAGTTGCAAGGAGAGGTTTTATAGTTTTAAGGGCAAGATGATGTGTACAGTGCTGGGATACAGCTTTGTATTGAGGAAAATGTTTAATTACATGGGACATGACAGAAAAGCTCTGGTGTGCTTGATCACAACATACTAATTTATTTCCTCTTTGTAGTGTCAGGACTCACAACTGGGGGAGGGGCAGCCCTTGGGAAAGTGGTATGATTTCCATGCAGCAGTCCTAGGTTGGGGCAGGAGCTGTCTGCTTTACAGTATAAATAGATCCTGTTGCAGCAGTCACTGACGTGATGAAAATATTTCTTGATCTCAGCACACTTGCTGATTGAAGTGATCTGCTTTAATAATCATGTATATTTGAACATTTTGATTGAGCACTCTCCAATGCAGTTCAGAGTATGGGGAATTTTTTTAGCTTACTGTAGGAGGAACACTGACATTTTGTGTTTGGGGTGTTATAGTTGTTTTCTGAATGTTTTTAACACGGACATGCACGCTGACAAAGTGAAGTTTATGCTGCTGTAACTCGCTGTAGTTGTGTTGTGTGCTTTTTTATGTGTGTTAGATATTTCAATATGCATTCACAGAATATGAGTTGTAAAGGAAAGTGGCTTCACGATACTTGAAAGGAAATTTTTGTTCTGTTCTCTACAGCATTTATGTGTTGGCAGCATGGGCCTCTCTGTAGTAAAGTGTAAGGCAAACAAATGGAAATTTGACAGCCTGTACCCCAAACAATTCTCCTGGTATGAGGATGAGAAGGAACAGATGGGCAGGACAAATAAGATGGTAGTGGGGAAAACAACAAATAACAAGAGTGGGGTTTTTGGCAGAAAATTCAATGCAATTTTTGGTGCTTATTTATAACCGTTAAAAAGCTGCTTTGGAGATACGATATTCATATTGCTTTGTTTGAGGAAAAGATTTCTGCACCCCTGGGTGAATTTTGTAGCAGCCTCTGTCGCGAAACTTCGGCCAAGCTTTCTGTGTCTTTGCTTAAGATAAGGTTTTCTCTTTGAGGGAGTCCCTTTCAGTGAGAGGAAGGGGTGAGACACAGAAGGGAACGTTCCTGCTGTTATTTGTGAGAGAGAGAGTTATTTGAGAACAAACTGTGCGAGCTGCGCCCGCTAGCGCCAGCGCGGTGAGGAGTCTGTCAGGCTCCTCTGCCGGCTCTGCTACCTCCTGCCTGGCACTGCAATTAGTCCTTGAGCTGCCAACTGCCTTGGGAAGTATAATCTCGAGCATCTGGAACATGGGTAAATAGCAGAAGCCATGTTCTCATATCGCAGAGTCATAGAAGATGCTCGGTTGGAAGGGACCCATCAGGATCACGGAGTTCAGGTCCTGGCCCTGACAGGACACCCCAAGAATCCCACTGTGTGCCTGAGAGCACTGTCCAAACACTTCCTGAACTGGGGCAGGATTGGTTTGGTTTTTTTATGTTTGTTTGGGTTTGGTTTAGTTTTTTTAATTGTTGCTGGGGAGTTTTGTCTGTTTTGTTTGATTGGTTTTCTACTCTGCAGTCTCAGATCTGGACTGATAAGTGTTTATTCTGTAATTCTGAGAAGTCTTCAGCCATGATGCAGGACTAGGCAGAGGTAAATTAAGGGCATGGCTGCTGCTCTGCTGCTGCTCTTGGCTTCAGTGAGATTCTGTAATGTTACCTTAAACAATATCTTTTTGTGGCTGAATCTGTATAGCTATTACACTGGAGATATATTATAAAATAGTAACCCTTGGCTGTTCTGTGCCTGTGTATTCAGCAGCTGTTGCATAGTTTCTACAAATTAAATACTGTTCTGCTGTCTTTGTTGTTAGCAGGCAAAACTTTCTAAATCAAAAGTTACCTTTTTGTTCATGGTGTTCTGCAACATTTCAGATTTCATTAGTGTTCAGAATTAATTCAGTTTCCAAGAAGAGCCACTTCCCAGAAGCTTTCCCTTTTATAATTTTAGTATGTCTCACCAACCCCCAGGCAGCTGCTGTTGGACTATGTAATAAACATTCAAGCTGTCGTTTTAGTAGTTGTCCTGAAATTGAAATATTCAATATTTTGAAATGTCTGACCATTTTTAACAGTGCCATTTTCTTGGCAGGCTTCAGTATCACTTAGAAAATGTTCCAGTAAGAGCCAGTAAGATGTGAGGGTTTTTTAGTAGTCAAGAATACAACTGACTTGAATAATAAAAAAATGGAAGGAAATCAAAATGCAAGGCAGAGCATTAAAATCCTAGAGATCTCTTTTTCTCTTTATTCTGATTTAGGTACTAATGCTAAATTAGATCAGTCTCAAAGGGAAAAAAATGTCCTGTTGCTGTGTTAGTTGTTAGTGGTGATATTTTACAGATCAAGACCTATCAGAAGATCCTTGATATCTTCATGGACTTTTTGTCAGAGATCAGGGATCCAGACTGGTTCAGTCCACATAAACAGCCCTGGCTGTGGGGTGTGAGGCATTTCCCATGGCCAAATTAATCCCTGCTCAGCGTGTTGGCACAGCAGAGGGGACATGGGCAGGCAGCAAGGTGGGAGCAGAAAATCGCCACATGTGCTAAAAGGTGGAAGTGGTGTGACAGGGACAGGATGTCTTTTTTCATTAGTCTGTCTTCAGAACATTAGAAGTGAACAGTGTTGCTTTCTTTTTATGTGTGCAAAAGCTTAAACTGACATTCTTCCTTCCTTTCCCCTTCCTCTCTTGGTGCCCTGAATGATGAATAATGGGGAAAATTATGAGGCATGTAAGAAACTTCTGAGTGATCACCTTGAATCCTGAATTTCCAGTAGATTTTTTTTCTTGGCAGCTGGCGTAATTTCTCGCTGAGCTCTGTTTGAATTATTTATTTGTTCATCCAATAAGCCTACTAAACAAAGCACTTAAGCACTTGCTACAACAGACTTCTTGTGCTTTTTCTCTTTAGGTTACATTAGGTTCAAGTTGAAAATGGTAGGTTCTGCAGTCAGGCAACTAACTATTGGATATCTATCTATCTATCTATCTGTCTATCTATCTACCTAGATAGGTATTATTCTATTATATTCTATGTGTGCCACAAACACAATGTTCATGCGCCTTCACCATGTAATGATAAATGGCTCGTGGCTCACTGCCCTAAAATGGGCCTCAAAATGTGTCACTATAACACTTGTTTTCTGGGTCACTTATTTGTGCTGTGTTCTTTGTAAATGTGTCATGCAAATGCCACTCTAAAAATTATGCATTCTTATACCTAGTTGATTCCTGAAATTATGCATTGTAAATTATTCTCTTTTTGTCTCTTCCAAGCCCAAACGAAATGGAATTACTTAGTTTATACAATCCATAAAAATCTTACTTATTAAGCTATGATTATGTTTCAATAAGATAAGCATGTTTTAAATCTGACCTAACCATAGTAATGAAAACGATGAAAAATAAGTCTTAATTGTACCCCCAGCACAATCTTCCAGAACACAGATACATAAACCCTTAGGTTTTTCAGAAACCAGCTAGAGGTCCATGTTGTATTGAAGCACATGTTGGAAGTACACATTATCACAGTCCTGTCCTCTTTGGTTTGTTTCCATTTAATTGCTCAGTCAGTAGAGATCTTCATTCACACATGGCATTTATTTTTCTCTTAGCTTCTCCCTGACCAGCTGGTCTTACTTCTGGAGTCCCTCTTGGAGGAGAAGACGTTGTGTCCTAGAACACTGCAGTGCTTGGAGAGAACGTACCAGCTCCGGGAGCAGGATGCTGAGGTAAGTCTCTTCAAAAACCATGTCCTGAGAGCCGCAGTGTCCCTCTGGGAACCAGGCTCACTCAGGTTCCTTCTCACGTGTGTGAATCCGAAATTGGGTATCTTAGCTCCGGCACTGTTGCATCTTCACGTGCCTTGGTTCCTTGGTGTGTCTGTGTGCTTTGTGCAGGCCTGGGTGTGTTTCAGGCCATGGGAGCAGAGGACAGTGCAGCCCAGCTGTCCCAGCTGTTGTACCTTTGCTCAGGTGTTAAATTCCTCGTGTAGCGTGCTGACTGTGTAGCAGAGCCCTGTTTGCTTTAGTTGTCATATTGTCTCCAAATGTGTCTGTCATGTTCTAAAATTATTATTCCCCATTTTCAGCTGATATTGTTTCTCTTTGTGTGCTCGGAAGTCTCACTCAGGATTCAGAAGAGCTAGCTCTCCAGAGAGAGACTAGATGTGCTCTGGTTTGGGGCTTGAGTTTGAGGGGGAGTCAGTTCCTTACGGCTGTCTTTAGTATGTGCCAGTGATATTAACGTTCCCTGAGGAAAACACTGCTTTATATGATACTGTAAAGGCTAGCAGCCCTGCTCCAGAGTGCTCTGTATCTCTGTGGGGCAAACCAGTCAGTATTTATCGCCACGTGCAGAGCTGGTTATTTTGTGAACTCCCATGGTTTCCTCATGCTGTGAGAGTTCTGACAGCTAAGGCAGCAAAGCTGTAAGTACCCTTGCCTTGCAATAAACCTGTGCTTCAAGTAGATGGTGTGCAGGAGGGGAGGCAAGAAGGTAGAATCTGTCATGAAAATAAAGGATGTGTAGGTACATATATATAAAAACAAGGGTTAGTTATGAAGTGGCATATAATCAAGCTAATGTGGGAACAGTGTAGACTTAACATTTAATTAAAAACTACTGTGAAGGCTGCAGAAAGTCAGTGTGCATGACTTACCCAGTGACTTACCACTGGAACTTTGTGGCAATAATCAGAATTGAAGGAGAGAACATAAATCTGTCTTGTTATTCTTATGCTGAAGTTGCTGGGTGCATGCTTGTAAACACTTGGAAATCCAAACATTAACATAAAGGTCTATAGAACACAGGTCTATCTTCTTCTCAGAGAAAAAAAAAAAAGGAGGGGCAACATTTCAATTGCTGCTGTTTACTGCACCTTTTTTCTTTTTTGTTGATACAGTTTTCCAAATGCCGTATTTGGTTTTAGTTAGTGCTTGAACCAACATTTCTATTTATAGGTATTAGAATATATTTTAATCACATCTGAATACCAGTGAAATGTCAGTGGTTCTATTGTGGGAAGAGGAATTAATAGGGAGAGAGATCAAAGCAATAGCTGTGGTGTTGCTGCTTCATGCCTGTGAACTGTAAGCACCAGGCCACAAGCTTCAGTTTCTCAGGTTTCCTTTCTCTCCACCTTCATGCTTTCTTTCTTCCTTGCAATGTCATGTAAAACTACACAAGCAACCTGACAGAATTTTTTCTTTAAAGAACCAAACAAACCCACAAAATTACAGCCTCTATGAAATGAACATAATCTCTGTTTTATTTTACAAGGTGAAACCAAGGGCTTAGTGGACAATTTACTTAGAAATACAGCTAAGATAACATTACCATTAGCATTTTACCAGTCATCAGACACCAGACACCTACAGTCCTTTAAAGGGAATGTTAGCTCCCATGGCCACATACCTGAGCAAGGGACTGTTCCTGCCTCATTCTCCAGTAGGTGCACAGGGGATTTTTTGTAATCATGACCCAGGGACGAAGAACTGCAGTCCTGTTCTTGTCTAAATTTAATTCATGAAGACACAAATCACTCTCAGTGATCCTTTTGTGTTACTGGAGTTCAAATGTTCTCAATAACTAAACAACAGAAATGGATCATTAAAAATAAAACCGTAAAAAAGCTGCAGGCAGGCCAATGGAAATAGGAAAACTGTCAGTGTCAGAGAATTTATTCCAGGATTTTTGTACGTGAGGTTTTCAACCGTGTTCCACCCAATTTTTGTACTTTAAACAAAGTTTGTTGTTAAAATTTGAACATAAAATTTTGTCTGCCTGCCTAGGAGTTGGCAGCTTGTTACTGGGGGTCATTCTGTCCTGCACAAGTACAGCATGGGAAATCCCGGCTCATATTTCTTAAAGCTTTTCTGTCTGTATTGCTGAAGCACCTCTGTTTTGGCGTTAAGGTGGAGCATGCTTGCTGCTGTGAAGTGCTGCACACCTGGGGGTGTCTGCACTCGCCCACAGGGATGTGTGTCTGTCCTCAGTCAGCGGTTTGCCAGCAGCACAGTTTGGTACTCCTGACCTCTTAACGGCGTAAGGGCACCTCCTTCTTCAGAAAGAAGAGGGTTTGCAGCAGGTTGTCTAACTTGTAGGGGTGTGAATAAGCCTTTGCCTGGAATGTAAAGGTTTATCTCTTCAAGGAGTGCTCAAGCTGGATCCTTCCTGGGGTCCTCTCCTCTCCCAAATTAGGTCTCGCCTCAGATATGTGGGCTGGAGGAGGTAGGCAGCCTGAGGAGGCAGGCAGCTTCTCCCTTCTAAAAGGCAGACACTGATTGAAATGCTTCAGCTAACACAAAGAACCTTAAACCAAACCAAAAGAGTTAAGTAACATGTTCCTGATTCACAGTGCGTAACTTCTGAGCCGCGAGAGCTGGGAGTGCTGATGGCTTAAATCTCACTTCAGACTGGGCTGCCCTGGGCCTGGGTGCCGAGAGAGGCTTGCAGGGCGTCTGCCAGATTGCAGAATTTGTGGCTCCCTCCTGGTTTTTGTGGTCATTTTCTATAACAAATCATGGTTTCATTTTCCATTTACACTTCAAACCTTGGAACATCTGAGAAGACAGAAAACTACAAGTTTGTTTTCCAGAGATTAAAGTCACTGATGTGAGATATTTGAGTTGAGCATATCCAGGATATCTTTGAACAGTATTTTGAAAACAATGAACGTTTCAGAGTTTATAGCCATTTTTCTGTCTTCTCTCTGTGCCTTGAATCCACTGTGGCTCAGACCTTGTCAGACAAGTGGGAGGCACTTACATGGAGTTTGTCCTCAGTTTTCCCATCCTTTTCCCTACTTGCTATGCTGCTTCCCACTACATAACAAAATAGCTCATAGATAGGATCTACAGACATTTCCATGATGTACCACATCCTGCATCCAAGAGAAGCATTATAGAAACTGGCTACAGTCTGAATATGACAAAGTCCAACTGAAAGTTCAGCTCTGAGGAGAAATGGGATATGTTATAAAGCAGCAGCTACAGCTGCCATCACACAGCACAGCAGGATAACAGAATTGGAGGTGGGTCTGGGGTAATTTTTGTTTTGTTTCTTTCCAAGGTGGCTGTTCTGTGCAACTATTTCATTTATTCAATATCCAGGGTCTGGCAGAATGTGGAGAGTTGGAAAGTTTCGGGTTGCTAATATTTTTTTTAATCTGCATAACCTTGATGACATCTCTTCTGATGTGACTAAGCAAGCTTATCTCATTTGAGCATAGGCTGTTGAGGACTTTCATTTAAATAAAATGGAGTAAGTAAGCTGCAAAATACAACACTGCAATATCTGACTAACACTCTCTTAAGGAGAAGAGCACTGTCATTACTCCCATTGTTTCTGTCCTTCATTTGGTCAGAGATAGGCCTGAAACATGTGCATACAATGTCACAGCATGGCTGAGTGGCCTGCAGAATAGTGAAAAGGTCAAGAGGGAGATCACAGAGACCATAGGAGAAGAACAGTGGGTGCAGCACTTTCAGTCCTATTTAAGAATTGACAATATTTCTGCACGTGTGTTTTACTTGTCACTGAATTATCTAAGAGCTGGTAAAAAAATACAGAATATGAATGAAGATGAAAGATTTATGGTATATTTCCCCAGATTTTTCACTGCAGACCTTACTTTCTTTTCTACTGTAGCTATCACTTTTTTAAAATAAAATACCTTGCCTGCACAGCATATGGAAAGTTGCTTTGTTGGCTTTCCTTGTCCCAGCAAGTTGACTGAAATGCTCTTCACTTATATAATGCTTTCCCTGTATTCAGGACCATAATGTGGTATATTTTGGGGAGAGAAGAGAGGCTAGAAGTGTTTCTGCAGTGAATGTGAGTGAAATGAGTTAAGATCATAATATCTCCAGTCATGTGGGTGGCACAAAGCCATTCTCACACAAGTGCTTCATTGTGCATGAGGGCAGCCTGCGAGGCCAAGGCCGTGAAGTGGTGGCATCTTATTTCACTGACAGGAATCCAGTCATGCTAATATAAACCATATAAGGTGCTTGGCATCCCAGAAGTGGTGAGAATTGTTAGGACAAAATAACTTTGATTCATTGATCTTTCCTAGCCCATAAAAAGCTGGCAGGAGTGGAAGTACAGATGAATTCTTGTTGCCTCCAGTCTGGTGGCGACTGAGTTGAGCTGAACGCATTCTCAGACTGCTTAAGTCAGCTGTCCTGCTGTTTGGGGTGGGCATTGTTTGAAGGCACCCTTATGGAACAGAGCTCTGTAGACTATGTTGTAAAACTGGTTGGGAAAAGGGAACTGCTCAGGAAAGTTCAGTTCACACTTGCACAAGGTACTCGGTGAGCTTTCCTTTCAGCACAGCCACTGGGGCAGCCCTCCCCTGGGGCAAGGGCTCAGGAGCAGTGTCCAGCTTTGAATAAAATTAGTAATGTCTTGCAAATACCTCCACAGGCTTGCCAGTCCTTGGCTGGACTGTGGAGCAGCAGGTAGGCATGATTCAGACAGTGGTGTTGCAACCAGAGAGCTCCATGATGCCACTGTTGGTATGAAACACCAATGCTGTAGATGAAAAAGGTGACAGCTTGAGCTGATGACCATAGTACAGGACACTGCTTTCTTGTGAATACAGTAATTTGTTTTTGTTTCTGCAAAAGTAAAAATCATTTCGTGTCCTTATTTCATATTTAAACCTACAGTTTATTATGGAATTTCAAGTCAAACTGGGAGGAGATGCCTTATTTTGTATATGACAGTA